AACAGAACCAGGTCTATTCTATAAATTCATAAACAACAAATTGCAGGTAAAGGATAATATTCAGAGGTTGAAAATGGGAAATAGATTCACAGAAAATGAAAAGGAAATGTGTGAAACATTAAACAAAAAGTTCCAAAGTATGTTCGTACAAAATGAAATCTTCGGGGAACCAGACACGATAAGAATTCCAGAGAACATCATAGAGCACATAGAGGTGTCTAGAGACGAAGTGGAAAAAATGCTCAAGAAGCTAAGTAAGAACAAAACAGTTGGTCCAGATGGAATTTCACCATGGGTTCTGAGAGAATGTGCACCTAAGCTCAGCATTCCACTTCAACTGATTTTTCAGGCATCCCTGTTTACAGGAGTTGTAGCTGATGTGTGGAAAAAGGCTAACATAGTTCCAATCTACAAAAGTGGAAGCAGGGAAGACACCCCCCCCCCCTTAATTGCCCCTCACTGCCCGAAACGCTGCGCGTACTAGTGGCTTTACAAGAATGTAAATACTGTACTATCCAATGTATTCTCACATACCCAATGTACCTTCTTGTATATATATAAATAAATAAATAAATAAAAAAATAATTATAGACCTGTATCATTGACAAGTGTAATAGTCAAAATATTGGAAAAAATAATTAAAACTAAATGGGTAAATACCTGGAGAAAAATGATATAATATCAGACAGTATGGTTTTCGATCTGGAAGATCCTGTGTAATGACCTTATTCAGTTTTTATGATCGAGCCACAGAGATTTTACAGGAAAGAGATGGTTGGGTTGACTGCATCTATCTGGACCTAAAAAAGGCTCTCGACAGAGTTCCTTATAAGAGGTTGTTCTGGAAACGAACATATTGGAGGGGTGACTGGTAAGCTTAGGCACTGGTTATGGATGAAAAATTTCCTAACTGACAGAAAAATGAGGGCTGTAATCAGAGGCAAGGTATCGGATTGGAGGAATGTCATGAGTGGAGTACCACAGGATTCAGTTCTTGCACCAGTAATGTTCGTTGTCTACATAAACGATCTACCAGTGGGAATACAAAATTATATGAACATGTTTGCTGATGATGCTAAGATAATAGGGAAGATAAGAAACCTAGATGATTGTCATGCTCTTCAAGAAAACCTGGACAACATAAGTATATGGAGCACCACTTGGCAAATGGAATTTAATGTGAATAAATGCCATGTTATGGAATGTGGAATTGGAGAACATAGACCCCCCACAACCTATAAATTATGTGAGAAATCTTTAAAGAATTCTGACAACGAAAGGGATCTAAGGGTGGTTCTAGATAGAAAACTGTCACCCAAGGACCACATTAAGAACATTGTGCAAGGAGCCTATGCTACACTTTCTAACTTCAGAATTGCTTTTAAATACATGGATGGAGAAATACTAAAGAAATTGTTCACGACTTTTGTTAGACCAAAGCTGGAATATGCAGAGGTTGTATGGTGCCCATATCTTAAGAAGCACATCAACAAACTGGAAAAGGTGCAACAACATGCCACTAAGTGGCTCCCAGAACTGAAGGACAAGAGCTATGAGGAGAGGTTAGAGGCATTAAATATGCCAAAACTAGAAGATAGAAGAAAAAGAGGCGATATGATCACTACGTACAAAATAGTAACAGGAATCGATAAAATTGATAGGGAAGAATTCCTGAGACCCGGAACTTCAAGAATAAGAGGTCATAGATTTAAACTAACGAAACAAAGCTGCCGGAGAAATATAAGAAAATTCACTTTTGTAAACAGAGTGGTAGGCGGTTGGAACAAGTTAGGTGAGAAGATGGTGGAGGCCAAGACCGTCAGTAGTTTCAAAGCGTTATATGACAAAGAGTGCTGGGTAGATGGGACACCACAAGCGTAGCTCTCATCCTGTAACTACACTTAGGTAATTACACAAAACATACCATTTACTCCAAATATGAGCAGCAGTACAGTACAGGTAACATTCAACTAAAAGATAGAAGGAACATCGTTCCGGACCAAAAGTTCAGTAGTTAAGGGGATGGTGGCGAGAGAAAGAAATAACCATGGAACTGACCAGGACTAATGCCAAGCATCAGGTTCTGAAGACAAACACACAGCTCGTCAAAATTGGCATAAAAACCATGGATAGATAAGACATTGGAAAGAACAGCTATGACAAGGCAAAAGGAAAGAAAATGGATTGAGTAAAAAGCACAAAACTAGGTAGGGTCAGAATCAGGATCGAGATCAGGATCAGAGAAATCAAGGTTGGGGGGCATCGGCAGACTCAGCAGAGATGACAGGGAAGGCATGGAAAGGTGCACAAGCAAGTCAACAGGGTCTGGCGAGGATGAAGGTAGTGGGGTATGCCGAGGAGGGATGGAAACAATGGTGCACTCCTAGAGATAGGACAGCATCAGAAGGAATAAGAGAAACATGACTATATAGTGGGGGTCAGATGGTTCCCTATAGAGAAAAGATGAGTAAAAGAGGTGCAAGGAGAGGGAAGGACTTCTTGGTGAGTCTTCTTACTCACCAGGAAAGTAAAGGTGGGAGGAAGCCAGTTTGCATTTCTAACAGATACAATGGCACTAAGATACTCTCAGATAACCGCAATCATTTCGGGTGACGAAAGAGAACGAGAGTGAGTGACAAGGACAAACGGGTGGAGGTTGGATATTGGACTGAACGGCCACATGCTAAGGAGGGCTAGAAGACATAGGAGAGGACTGAGAAGAAAGACAGGACTGAGATTTAGAGGGACCTACATTGGGTAAAGAAGATTTAAGAGGGAGAATGGCAACAGAAAACGACAGGGGAAAACTAATTAGATAATATGGAAACTGGTCAGTGGCACTGGAAGAACATCCAAGAACTTAAAATTGCAGCAGAGCAGGGTAAGAAGGGGTGTATGTCGATGTACCGACTGCTCTCATTTACCTGGATATGGGAACAACCTCTCAATGGATAAGCAGAAATTTTACCATGAAGTCCAAAACTGAGCACATTCACAATTTTTTCTCGCAAGCAACATAATTCTGTACACTGTATATGATTAGGGGAGGATTGAAAGAATGACAAGTAATTATCAAAAGAAGAAAGAATGACAAACTACAGCTTACCTTGTTGGAGTTCATCTGCTTGATCGATGAACATCTTTACTTCATTTATGTAATCTAACCTAACTAAAAATTATTGTACATAAACTTGGCAAGGTTAATTTTGACTGCCAGCTGCTGGAGGATCACTGGTTGAATGCTCTACACTCAATTTTCCTTTTCATAATATTGTGCCTCACTAAATCTGGAAATCCAACCATTACTTTTTGAAATCTGGTACTGTATTTGAAGGCTGGCTGCAAACTGGCTGCAGCATTTATTTCTTCACCTCGAACTTAGTTGAACAATATTGGCCATTTCTTATTTCCAGCAGATTTAAGAGTCTAGTTTTGCCGAGTTCCCAGCCATAGTGGTGCTTCCTTAAATGAGCGTGCGGACGCTGCCGCTAAGGAGGCTATCAGCACTTATCCTATTTCCTGCAAAGGTGTTCCTTATTCCGACTTCTACCCGGTCATTCATTCCTCAATCCTTGTCCATTAGTATGGTTGTTGGCCTTTTGTTCCTGGTAACAAACTGTGCTGTTAAAGGTAGCCTATCCCCTTGGCCCTCCTACCACCGTAATCAGCGATGGGGAAACGGCTTTGACGAGGTTATTAACTCGCTGGAGCACCACTCTGCTCATTATTACCCCTTTTATGGTCATGCAGATCCTTGTTGAATGTCCCGAGTTTCAGGATGTGCATGCATATTGCTTCCCAGACTGTCCCTCGTGGTCATTTGTACCTCGATAGAATCCTTTGCGACACACTATCGTTCACCTTGTGTGCTTTTGTTCTCGTATTGTAATCCTTTCTGATATTCTGTGCCTTTTTAATATCCTGCAACCTTGATGGTGCTACCCAAGTATTCCCGGCTTGGTGCCTTTTGATATTTACTTCACCTCAAATTGAGACACCCCATTGTGCCATGCTGTGCAAACTACTTACACAGCCTCATCCAACTGTACATTGTTCCAGCTTCAAAGTTTTTTTTTTTTTTTATTGTTACACCTATTTGTGTAGTCATCTTTGTTTCTCTATATCAGATGGTACTAATGCTTATACCAAAATCCTTGCAATGCTTACAACTAACCACCCATTTTTACAAGGTTCACCCCCCCCCCCTTTCCCTGTCCAGCTCATGGTTTGCTTAGTGGGTGGCTGTTGGAGTACAATGCTCCACGGGCTGATATTGTGTCTGGCTTTTTTGGAAACTTGTGCTAACAGCCACCTTTACTAATTTTCTTATTAGTAAAGGTGGCCATTCTTTCTGTATTCACAGGCTAATGGCACCACTGTTCGATTAGGAATAAGCAAAGATTGATTGAAATTAGAAGTGGTTATTCAACTGAACTAGTCTCTGGATATAGTAATCCAGATGGAGGAGCACAATCGGAGACCCCCACTTTCAAAAGGACACATCTGCTTTGGAGAAAGTACAATACAGATTAACAATGTCATCCTATAAAGCCCACACTCATACCAGGAACAGTCAAGGGCCTCAGAACATGATAGGGCTAATCTCATTAGCCTTTAAAATATTGTACTATATTAACTGAAAATTATTAATCCAGGTTACTATAAAAAGTTTAATGTAGCTCATATAAAGAGCAAAATGTCACTAGGAGACAAAAGGAAATACTTTTATCATCCAGTGCAATAAACCCATGGAATAGTTTATCCATCAATACTAAGGCAATACTCTTTAAAATCAGCTGGAAAATATCTTGGAGAATGAGGTAACCTTTGACAAGTTGCTGGCTTCCTGTCCTCAAGTATTCTTAATATGGTGGTCCTTGGGTAAGTTTAGGTAAAACCATTCATTAATAGATATTATTTATTAAAAAAAAAAAAGAAAAATGCCATATTTGAGTCCAATAAATATTCAAGAAACAAATGTTATGCCCCAGCATGGCATACTTCAGGCACTTAACATAGTGTGAACAATTTTGGTGTTATGCAATTCTCTCTCCAGATACTTCGTCTACTTGTATAAAAGAAGCAGTTTACAAGCTTACAGAAATATATACATGTGTTAAAGCTGAAACATGTACAAAATACATAAAACCAAATAAAACCTATTGACTATTCTAACATTTTATTAAAGGAAGTTTAACAATATGGAAATTAATAATGACAAAATTAACACTATACTTCACTTGAGGGCTTCTCAGTGTACATAATGAGACTTGCATAACCATTATTGTCTACATATATACACACACGCATACAAACTGCATTACATGAAAATACAACAAGTCCATGCACTAATAAAATAATTAAAGCAGAAATATTGGTAATTTGTGTTACAGTGTTTCTTGACTACATTTGGCTATAAGCTTAAGTACCTTCAGGTTTAGAACAAGTTATTTACTTACATTCTATATTATGCACATGAGAATATGCTTTACATTTATTATGCATAACAGCCCTGCTATAATATTTGCACCTTTCCATTTTTTGTTATTCAATGTAATATAATGTATCTATGCTTGCATAAAATTAATGTACCATACACAATACTAACTGTTCGCACTTTTCTAAATTAAAAAAATATCCTGCCCTAAAAAAAAAAAAAAAATTGTTTGGCAACATCAATTAAGTCGACTGACAACTTGTACGCCATACCAAAGTATTTTTTTTTAACACTACCAATAACTTGACCATGGAGGTCTGGTCGAGGACCGGGCCGCGGGGACACTCCGCCCCAAAACCATCTCAAGGTAATCATCTGGACAAACCTGTAACCTGTCACTATAAGAATCCTTACTCTCAGCATTTTAAAATCATAAATAAACCAGCGAATTGCACTACTTAAAATAATAAAAGTTGTTTTTCTTTAAAGGTCACAGAAAATATCAGATAATTTACTATAAGGATGTACGCACTTAGAAAATACACAGAAAGACAACCACAGTACAATATCTACAAGAAAAAAAAAAGCAGTTTGGATAATTTGCAGCAGCAAAAAATTTAACCTTAAGATGAATAATAGGTATCTATGATGACTGGTAATAAGTATTTAGATTGAAATTATAATTTTGTGATATCATTAAATGATCATCAAAATAAAGGAACAGATGATCATTAAATAAAAGATAGTAATGCCAAGTTCGTGTTCAACCAAGCATACAATGAACAGATACAATAGCTCCAAGATTGTACCAGTAGAACAATGGGAACCCAAACACAAGGAGTTGTGAGCACACATTGTTGTAATTATTATTACAACAATAATAACTACACCAAAATTATTTGTTCTTTGGAGCTTACCAGCCTAAAATATCATAATAGGTACAGCCTCAATAATTATCTATGGTAAATTTAATATTTTTATGAAAAAAATAGTGTGATCACCAACTGTTATTGAGTCGTCTGAAAAGTTGGTTGTAGTGGCAAAACAATAAGAGCATACAAAACCCCTAGGTGCACAATAAATTATGTACAGTACTGTACTACCAAACTTGAGAGAAGTTACTACAAACTAATAAGAAATATAGAGGTTATTTAGTAAAGATGCTGCAGCATTTTGAATTAACCTCCAAATAAACTTCGGTAAAGAGTTAACAGGAACCATATCAATGTATCAGGAACTACACAAAGGATACATTATGCATATATATAAATTAAAACTCAAATGGTAGCTAGAAACATGTAAGCATACAATATAATTAAAATGTCATACTGTCATATTACAGTATGACATTTGTTATATTTTATAAAGTACATTCATTAATATACTCCAAAAGCAACAGCTACTTCTACTTGCAAGTGAAGAGTTATAGCATATGAATGTGACAACTGGGTCCTGTAACTCATGAATACCAGTATAATTAAGTAAACCCTACACTAAAATCTGAATATTGTATGTATATTATGGTTCTATGACCATTAAGCGTTATAAAAATCATTTCATTCTCTGATAATCTTTCATACACATCACACTTCCCCTACTACAAGACTGCATTTAATGCTAAGTATATACAAATGCAGAATCATATCAGATAAGAAAACTAAGTTTGCTCCACCTGCTTGGAGTCCCCAGACGAGATGGTCCTGCATATGGTGATCTTGGAGCTCTGGATGAGGAAGGAGTCGTTATCGTGCGTGTTACTGTGGAATTTCTTGGCGAGCGACGATTTCCGTGAACTCTCGGAGAACGACGTGTGGATATCCGTGGTAAAGTCATAGGAGTCTTAGGCAGGCCTGGGGGAGGGTAGCGTGGAGAAACACGACGCTTTACTAATGGAGTTTTTTTGTGTCCATGGACTACCGAGCTACGGATATTCTCCCTTTCGCTGCGACGCTGAATCCCATCCTATTAAAACAGTAACTTATTAAACACACATTTAAACAGGAAAGGTCAAAGCTTGAGCACATGACTGCAAGCTATGCATGTCAGAATAAACTAATTAGATCCAATGTCTTAATATTAGTAATGAAATAATTTCAAATCATTAGATACTGTACCTAATATATTACCAGATTCCTTGAATGTTTCCACATGAATTAGATTTCATTATGATTACATTTGAATTATAATTTCTACAAATTCAAGAATCTACCCTTTTCCCCCCCTAATATTTTTGGGTTTCAACTTTGTTATGTGAAAACAATATTGATGTAAAAATCAGATTACAGTGCAACCTAGATTCGGTGAATTATTTGGCCCAACCTCTATTCATTGCATCAGAAGATGCCTTCAGTTTTTCTTTCTATAGCAATTGTTTGCAAGTGACAAACCAAAATACATAAACAATTTTTTTTAGTATAAAGTATTTACTAATGCTAATGTATAAAAATAGTTTAATAATATGTACTGAATGAACTATTCACCAAAGTACAGTGCTATGCCCGTTTCTCCCAATCATCTACAAAACTGTTTTTACTATGTTCTAAAAATTTTTTTATTATGGAGCCACAGTAAAGCCAGTACCATTTGTACCAAAATTTTTCCCATGCTAGAAGCTAATTTCACTAAGCAAATGTTACAGTAATTTTAACTTATCACATAAGTCAACTATCAGGAGAACCTGTCTGTAAAGATTTCACCATATCAAACTTATTTCTTATGCCTCAGCCTTAACACTTTATTTTCGAAGGTAGCAAACCCATACCTAGTTAAATAAAAACAGCACCAGCTAAAGATGAAAACGATACTTTTTTTTTTTAATATACTGAATGGCTATCCAATAGCACCAACTAGTATTGTGTCCATCTACGAAAATAATTAAAAACCTGCTTGGAGGCATAACCCTTAAGTGCACATACGTATGCAGATATTTTAGTTATCACAATTTTTTATACAAATGATGTAAATACTGTTTGGTTAAAATTTGTGTGTATGTAATGAAGTTAACCTATACTTACAAAAAATAATTCTGCTGTTATTTTTAATTGCTTACTATCAATAAATCTTGTCCCTCAAGCTAGGCAATTATTGTCAATGCACAATTTGGCATTTCCTGCCAATGCTTGAATTTGAATCAACAAGGCAGCCGGTGGCTGAGCGGACAGAACACTGGACACCTGAGGGGCCTCGTAGCCTGGTGGATAGCGCGCAGGACTCGTAATTCTGTGGCGCGGGTTCAATTCCCGCACGAGGCAGAAACAAATGGGCAAAGTTTCTTTCACCCTGAATGCCCCTGTTACCTAGCAGTAAATAGGTACCTGGGAGTTAGTCAGCTGTCACGGGCTGCTTCCTGGGGGTGGAGGCCTGGTCGAGGACCGGGCCGCGGGGACACTAAAAGCCCCGAAATCATCTCAAGATAACCTCAAGATAACACGTGATCCTGTGGTCCCGGGTTCAATCCCGGGTGCCGGCGAGAAACGATGGGCAGAGTTTCTTTCATCCCGATGCCCCTGTTACCTAGCAGTAAATAGGTACCTGGGATTTAGTCAGCTGTCACGGGCTGCTTCCTGGGGGTTGAGGCCTGGTCGAGGACCGGACCGTGGGGACACTAAAGCCTCAAAATCATCTCAAGATAACCTCAAGATAGGAAGGCCCATCAACTTTCCCCACAGGTCTGTAAACACAAGCTCTGCATAACAGCCTTATGTTAATTTAACACTTTCGCCACTCGGTGGCGCACGAGCGCGTCACTAAGTTTTGTGCGGGTTCCGCAAGGGTGACTGGCGGGAGTCACGAGAATAAATATTTGTATAAATTCCAATTTCGATCCAATCTACTTGGGGATAGTTTAGAAATGTTCGCCATGAAATTTACGTTTTCTCTAATAGCCGAAGAGCTTATTTGGGAGAACGGCATGGCAGTGAATCATCGTGGTAAAACAATTGTATTATTAACACGACGAGTATGATCGACAGTTTTTATATTTGTTGCTGGTCGAACGCATCCATGCGAGACATTTTATACTTATGTTCTTCTAGAACATTCTATTGCAAAAACATTGATACAAAAATGAAATACGTACATCAAAAAATAATGTCAGGACAGTGACTTTAATATACAATTTTCAATGCGGGTTTTGCCAATATGCCGCCGCGGGTAACACTTCGGCCACTTCCCACACTCGTGGGTCGGTCGCGACATCGATTCTATATTTATATGCCTATGTCCGTGTAGACAATTTTATTGCAATTTCAGTGATGCCAAAATTAACCCTGTAGGACAAGTGTGGAGTTGACAACCCTGAAGATAGAAACATTTCATTGCTGTCTGGCGCTCACGGCTAGTGATCGACGTAGTTTTTTATTTGGTGCTGATCTAACTTATGTTTTGGTGACATTTTATACTTATGTTCTTCTAGAACATTCTATTGCGAGCACATCGGTACAAAAACGAAATACGTACATCGAAAATTAACGTCAGGACAGTCAAAAGAGTACTGTATACACTTTTAAATGTTGCCGCTCGATCGCTGAAAAGCTCATTTCAGTTGGGGAAAGTTTTTTTTTTTTCAAACGCCGTTTCTCGAAAGTGTTAACATAAGAGCCAAGAATGTTAAGTAAACCTGCCTGGAAAATGTGCACTGTAACCATAGAGATGCTGAATCCAGGTTGCACTGTACTGTAAGTCATTGGAAAGCACATAATGTGTTTATGACAAGTAATACTGTTAGAAATTTCTGGCACTGCATTTTTGGTTGGAATATTAAATTCTCAAAACCATTAGAGAGTTAAAACAATATACTTGTTACGTTACAAGATTTTGTGGAAATTTTTGGCACGACAAATTTTTTGCAAGTGACAAACCGGAAAATATAAGGAATATTTTTGAGTAAAGTATTTACTAATGTTAATGTATAAAAATAGTTAAATATGTACTGAATGAACTATTCACCAAAATGTGCTGAAATCATCTAATTCTAAATACTGAACAAGTGACATTCTGCTGCAACTTGAGATCAATACTGTGCTTTATTTGCAGTGAGCTAAGATCTTTAACTACACCTGAAAAGACCCATATTTCATTAGTATTACAAACATATTGGTACGTTCATGTGTAAATACTAATGCCAAATAAAATGTATTAATGATTTCCCAGCTAATAATCTGGTGCTAGAGTGGCTCACAATACAAGTGTCCTTACTGCTCTGGCTCTGGCTTTACTGTCATGTAATACTTCAAAATGTACAGAACGTTTCCAAATTGAACATGGGTTTAATTACATTAGATTATCCTATCACATTCCCCCCCCCCCCCCCCTACAAATTTTGGGTGCTACCAGCATCTTGAGGAAAGCACAAATGGCGTTGCGATATTTTATTTCCAATGCATACTGCAAGGTTATATGTGCATTTGGTGTCATTTTTAAGCTAAAGAGTTGTACTTTATAATGGTATCTTCAAAAAATGCAGCAAAAGCAAAATAAAATAACTAAGGAGAGTTAAATTTATCCAACGTAATGTTGAAAATGACAACTAGAGCCGTCATCGGAACGTTCTGGCATTGAGCAAATGACGAATGTAGGCGTCACAAAAATGTTAAAGGGTTAAAGGCCATTGTTCCCAAGAGATATTAATGATAATTTACTGTTACTTTCCTTCAAGTCCAAAAAGGACTACAGATCTTATGGGTATTGTAGAGTCCACTCTTATTATAAAATAATGTTCACAACACAGTGAAATCACAATAGTGTGATTTCACTATTATAATAGACCTATGATAAAATCTTTTAAAGCAATATGATTCACCAAACTCTCATAATGGATCACCCTAGACATACGTTCGATACCATCATATTGCTCCAAAAGATTTTCTGCATACAATAGCCTCAATAAATCTCACTACAGTCAATACACTATTTTCCACAACGAACATATTGCTAAATAATATTTATGAAAAATATTAACGTATCATGCAACCTTCAACATGTAAACAAAGACTGTATAATCTCCTTAGAGTATTTCTAGTACAATATAGAAATGAAGAGCCATGTTCAACATGTACTGGAAATGTGCATGTGATATTTAGTTTCAGTAAGTTATGCACACAACATGCACTTGCAATAAGGAAAACTAACAAATATAAACAAGAGATAACAGGAGCAGACGTTGAAGACAATTAAGAAAAAGAAGCCAAGGATAAAATATTGAAATACAAATAATATTTGTTTAACTTCAAAATGTTTAACAATATGCCCTATGGGGGTATATTATATCGTACATCAGCGTGAAATTTGGTGTGAATATCCCCCAAGTAAAGCACCATTAGCAAAGGAAAATTTGTATCAATTAACTGTGCAGCAGATAAGACAGCCAGTTAAGTTGGTGCCTCAGACACTACTAAATCACTATACTTTTCCCAAAATATTTTACACAAATATCCACAGTAAATGCACAAGAATGTGGAGAAACATGTTTTCAATCTTAATTTCTAAGCTACTATGTTTTCTCAAGTGATCCAGTGGAGCCACAGGGCTTCCATTTATTACTTGTAATTTGAAATGTTTGTGTCTTTATAGTGAAACATTATGGATGGACAACAACTGCAGTAGAGTTGTGATAGTTAATTCTTTGGCAAAACATTTCTTTATATACTACCACTTTCAACTCAACAAATAATACACAAGATATACTGTGATAGGAGTACCAAAGGAAGGCCCAAAAGTACTACCCAACATTTAAGAAAAAAAATATTATACCCATGCATTTACTTTTACAAATTTATTCTAATGAATTTGGACTATTTTCTCAAGAGAACAATTACAAGGCAGAGCTCTTCATACACAGTTGTTCAACAACAGGTATGCTTACAGGCTCTCATCGTACATCTGACATGCTACCGCAGATTCAAAGGTCGACATGTTATCTTTGGAGCAACGTCTATTTTTGTATTGGTACTGCTCAAGCTTGG